GCCAAACTTTGCTGATCTGTGGCCACAAGTATTTGGTACGCCTTTTGCGACAGATTTTGTTTCTTGAGATCCGTTGCCTCGAGAGTCCATTGAAGTCGTGGTTGTGTTGTGTCCACTGATAATGGATTCAAAAGGTATTCAGTCTTGAGTTCAACGGCTCTGATATCACTCAACGATTCCGTGAATACAAAGAGTGTTTGAATGAGAAGTATGACTGAAATGACTGTAAAATTCATGTTTTATTTGACTGTTTAATAAATTTGAAAATTAGATCTCATTTTATAGAAGTTCAATGAAAACGGATAATTTTATCGTAAATCAAAGGTTTATAATATTTTGATTACTTTTTAAAAATGTTTTCAATCAGTTGAACATATTTAGGAATTTTTATGAACAAAATGTGTTAAAATTCTCAAAGGGTTTAGTGAAATACTTTGTTTTAATAATACCTAGCATGGAAAGTATTATTATTAATAACTCAATATTGATTATGATTGTAAATTATATCATATTTCTAAGTTCGTGATAATGCTATTAACTAAAGTCCAATAGTTATCTATTAATGCTCTATAACTTAACCTATTATAATACAATTAACAATTTAGTTATTCAACTTATTTCACATAATCTATTGTTAATTATGAACTTGTTTGATTTGTAATCAAGGTTAAATATTTGCAAGAATTTTATTACATCATAAAGTCCTACGGAATTTGAGTTTGTATTAGAGATAATTTTAATAATCTTAGATATTACCTTTAATTATAAAATTATGAATCAGTATTTGATGATAATGTTTGATAAAGGATATATTTCAAATATTTAACTTGTACCGTAAAACAAATAATTTTAAATGTGTTTATTAATAGCTAAAAAGTATCCCAGAGATGACTTTCAAGCAGTGTGACCAACTGTCCTCTATTGTAGAGGACAGTCCTCTATTTAGGGTGTCTGTCCTCTGTGCTTTAAATGAGAAATAGTGGACATTGAATGTCCTTTATTTGTGAAAATGCCTTATTTAGAAAATTAATTGCAACATAAAACTTTTACGTAAATTGCATTTCACATTATAATCATAATAAAATACATTATCATTTACTAAATTGTATTTAAGTGCCGCAAATTTATATGAAATATGTAAAAAAAACTAATGACAAAATTAGACAAAAATTTCTGCGGTTTCAAATAATTTCAGAAATATATTCAGAAATATTTTCAAAAAATTGTAATTCAAATCAACTATACAATGTTGTCCACTATTTGTCCTCTATGTATTCAATTATTTTATCAAATTAATGGACAATTAATTACGAAACTTGAGTTGGTCACACTGCTTCCAAGTATTTAATGATATATACCGATAATTTTTATAAAGATATTTCAGATAATATATTTATTTATAATAATGCCTAAATAAGTGCAATTTTAAAACATTGATTTTATAATTAATTATATTTTAAGCCTTCTTTTAATGTTATTATTTAAAACTTATTAATGGATTGATTGTAGCTTCATATTTGAGTATATATAGTAAATAAGCAATTAAGTCTAATAAAACTGAATAAAAAATTTAATCCATGATGACTTTGAAAGTATAGGTCCCGGAGCCTACTTCATGCACTTTCCCACTCTTAGCAAAGGTTAGGTCAACAGAAGCCATAGTATTGACGGGAATTGTTGTCTAAAATAAATATTAAAATTATTAATAAGTATTAAGTAATGCTTCACACATTATAATTACATTTAACACGAATTGATTGCCTATTGTTTGCCACGAGTTCTCAATGAACCCATTGATTGACTTATAAGAGGACTTCACAAACGAGACACCATTTCCGGGGTTGGGCTGTATTTTGATGCGTTTAAAGCCCACCATTTGGTCGTCGGTGTCAATACCGGCCACGTATTGGTAGATCCATCGGCCGATAGATCCCATACCAAAGTGATTGAATGAATTCATGGAGGGGTCCATAAACCCCTTGTCCTCAGTCCATGAGTCCCAGTGCTCCCACATTCCGGTGGCGTTATGTGCTATTTGGTACCCAAACGAGGGGA